CAGGGGTTACGTTGATCCCCCGGAAGTCCCCTCTTGCCACTGGAACATCAACTTTTGGCAGTGGGTTTATACTTGCCCTTTTCCACGATCTAGGCCATTGGTGCGTAGCGAGAGACAAATTCCATAGCTTAGTAATGATTGGAGTGAGGATCTCCGCATGGTCTTTCCACACCCAATACGGAATTTGGTCAGGACCAGTTGCAGTCTTCTTTAGAGTACTCAGTGAGTTCCATACATATCGTTCACTAATTTCCGGGACTTTCACCTCAGGACCAATTTCAAGTAACGCGGGCTCAACGTAATCGCCATCCGTACACAGGTCACCGAAATACTCGTTCAAATCTTGAGCGGTCTCTCTATCCAGCGAAACGTTTGTGGACCGCCGGCGTTGAGATATCAAGTCTACGTTTTTCCACCATTCTCTGCTCCCCATTTTGCCCTCCAGAAGCATCCTTCTGTTTTCGCCAATAACCTTCAACACATTTCTACTAAGCTCTCTATGCTTATTAGTACGTAAAACAGAGATGCGAGACTTGCTACGTAGCATGTATTTAACTAGCGGTGTCATCCAACTTGGATCACGGGACGAAAGGGAAACCGTTCGTAAAGGCATGCACCAGTTAATATTTGCCAGGATCTTCAATTCTAAGATGTTCACAGCTGTTTCGATACTATCCGCCTCCAAAACATCATCCCAGCATTCTGATGCGAGGGCAAGGTAAAGAGCTTGCTTCCTATGCTCACGACAATCCCTAAATTGCACTTTCTTACGAATAGGCTTGAGTTTCTTGCCCGCTGGAACTATAAATCCAATGTGATCCGTCTTAATCAGCATCTTTATAGATAAAGCTTTTCCGAAGAGCTCTGGCCTATCTGTAAGACAATTATCCAAAAATGAATCCCCTCGTGTTGGAAAATCCACTAAAGCAGTCCAACCAGTAATGCGTTTAAGTCTCGTGAGATCAAGGTGATTAAGATCGCCACCGCAAACAATAGTAGCGTTTGGGTGATTATCCAGCATTGTGTCAAAGACATTAAGAAGATAATCCATTAAATCGCATTGCTGGTATGATGTCTTCGGGGGGTGATAAAGACCAGATAAAAGAATGTAATTCCCACTTGGCAGCAACACAGTCAGGCAAATAAACTCGTATAAATTAGAACGATAAACATCAATAACTGAAAGATTACTCCTTGTATAGATAGCAACACCTCCCCCATTCCTTAGATCGCATCCAGACCAATTCCTATCCCTTCTGAAGATATTATAACCCGAGATATTGACCACCGTATCGGGTACCTCAATTTTTAAATGAGTTTCCGACACAACACAAGCATCGATGTCATTATTTCTTAAGTCGGCCTCCAGAGCCACAACCGCTCGCACCCGACTAGTTGTTTTCCCCAAACTACAGATGTTAATAAACAAAAGTTTAGGGACAGCAAGCTGACCAGAACTAACAGAGGTGTGTTCGCGGGACACCACTTGTTTTGGTACACTGACGAGATTGCTAGGGTTTCGTCGTTTTTCAACCCGCAGTCGGGGAATAGCAAACCCACTTTCCGCCCTTCGTCCAATGACGACAGAAATATTCTGAATAGATCTCTCCTTCACATGCTGAACATTTTTTCTCAAACCTCCCCGATTACCACGAAACCTGAGCAGCTGTAGTTTCTTAAGCGTCTCTAAGACAGGGCTCGAAGGTTTACCAGATTTCTTTCTCAAACCGAGTAAATAGTTTCTTCCATAACATGGAATCTTACTTTCGTCCGACCAGGTTTGCTTTCGTAGATCATAGCTCTTCTCTGAAGAAATAGGACCAGGGTTCGTCTCCACATCCATAAAAACTGTAATGTCTATCGTTAACAGGGAGCAATCCGTCGCCGCAAGCAGTATATAACCATGTTTAACCCATTTCATGATAGGCCTTCGAAGTCTATCATGGCGGTGCACTCTTGTTGAGTAGCACTTACGAGCTGAGAAGGAAATTCCAAAGACGTCGCAACCAACCGAACTTTTTCCTCTCCAAATAGGCTTGAGAGAGTCAAAGTCTTCATCCAAGTATATATTGTAATAAAATTGAAGCTTAAAATTGATTAAAATAGCTAATAGAAGAGGAGCCAATATCCTCGTGGCCGCCATACTCGGCGCCTGCGCAATCAATTAATAGTTCCTCCAGAGGAAGAGTTTCAAAGGCAGTGGTTTATAAGTCCCATTACTTTCTGTTAATTATAAAATGCGATCTAGGATCATGATATTTAAATACGATTAAGCTAATTAACATCTTGAGATTTAATGAGACCTTGTAGAAGTTTACTTATAAGAGCGTGCTTAAATACAGATATGGGGTTGATATTTGGAAGGGAGCTGTACAGTGAGTTCCATATATCAACTATCGTTTAGCAAGTTTTGTAAATAATGAATTCATAGCTACTGGTCCTAAGTAAAACGAAATGGACACTTCACCGTGGGAACACTACTCGAGTTATTTGTTGTATAGTACAATGAAGAAATTAAAGGAAGCGATACGAAAACAAATCGAAAATTTGGATAACCCAGCTGAAAGCGCGTAAGAGCGCAAAATACTATGCCACAAAGCCAAAGTCATGCCCGAAGTAACATCATCCTCAAACAAGCTCTGTTCACGTGTAACGGCGGTTGTCGGGAGACAATCGCGGGAAACATTTCATTGCTGCATCCTGATGTCATAGATTTTGTAAGGGTGTTAGAAGGGAAGCAGTGTTTACTGTTGGTTGTCATGTGACCTCTAAGTAACCAATAAGAGCGTGCACTGTAGAATGAATCAACTTTTATCAGCTCCCTTGGAATAGCCCCACCTTTGATTTATCAATATTCCCAATAATTCGCATAGGTTTTCAAAGAAACTCACTTATGTATCGCCTCACTTTTTCAGCATTAAAAATTCGTTTCAGGCATGAGAGACCAATGTACATGGAGTGAATCGTTGATAACTTTGTTTTTTATGATCACTTGACTAAGAACTGTTTTAAAATATCTGAACATGACCTTACTGCTTTCTCTTCACGAACTTGATTTTTTTTTCCAATAACAGCACGATGACAGGTTTTTATTCTCACAGCTCCTCTACCGATCTCAAATGGAAACTGATTTAGAACTTGGAAACCTATCCAATTTTAAGCATGGAAAGGTGAATGGAGGTTTTGTCCCATTTTAAGTTCATCTTTTCTCTCGTCGCCTCCATCAAGGTGAAGTAGCGAGCCTAGTAAGGGGGGCAAACTTGCAACTGTACACCAACATGATAAGGCACGCAAGCGTCATAAAGACATACCAACGTTGATTTTAAATTTGGCACTATCGAACTGCTGGTGAATGGCTGCGAAACATTCGGGAACTTTATATCTCCACCGATGGTAAATTGAAAGGTCTTCCGGGAAAAGAAAGCGAAGCAATGAAGAAAATGATTATGAATTACCTACTTGCGCCCACGTTTTTCTGTTTTAAGCGCAAACTAATTGTCTTATTTATTTCCCAGCGGATGGACTTTGTAGAAGAGGGTGCAATATAATATGCGGTTTCTATAACCGTTATCGAATATTCTTTGAAAAATGGTTATTTTTAGATACCCTTCAGTATGGGGGCTGATCTTCAGGTAGAATTATCCGATTAAATATTCTGCTTTTCCTAAAGCGCTCGGCTCCGTAAACGCCCATTGCAGCTGACTTCACCTTCGGACGGTTCTTTGAACTACAAGCAGGGTCGAAA